GGTGACAGACCGCTCGGACGGGAAATGGCGGCTCTAGGGTTAAGGTGACAGACCGCTCGGACGGGAAATGGCGGCTCTAGGGTTAAGGTGACAGACCGCTCGGACGGGAAATGGCGGCTCTAGGGTTAAGGTGACAGACCGCTCGGACGGGAAATGGCGGCTCTAGGGTTAAGGTGACAGACCGCTCGGACGGGAAATGGCGGCTCTAGGGTTAAGGTGACAGACCGCTCGGACGGGAAATGGCGGCTCTAGGGTTAAGGTGACAGACCGCTCGGACGGGAAATGGCGGCTCTAGGGTTAAGGTGACAGACCGCTCGGACGGGAAATGGCGGCTCTAGGGTTAAGGTGACAGACCGCTCGGACGGGAAATGGCGGCTCTAGGGTTAAGGTGACAGACCGCTCGGACGGGAAATGGCGGCTCTAGGGTTAAGGTGACAGACCGCTCGGACGGGAAATGGCGGCTCTAGGGTTAAGGTGACAGACCGCTCGGACGGGAAATGGCGGCTCTAGGGTTAAGGTGACAGACCGCTCGGACGGGAAATGGCGGCTCTAGGGTTAAGGTGACAGACCGCTCGGACGGGAAATGGCGGCTCTAGGGTTAAGGTGACAGACCGCTCGGACGGGAAATGGCGGCTCTAGGGTTAAGGTGACAGACCGCTCGGACGGGAAATGGCGGCTCTAGGGTTAAGGTGACAGACCGCTCGGACGGGAAATGGCGGCTCTAGGGTTAAGGTGACAGACCGCTCGGACGGGAAATGGCGGCTCTAGGGTTAAGGTGACAGACCGCTCGGACGGGAAATGGCGGCTCTAGGGTTAAGGTGACAGACCGCTCGGACGGGAAATGGCGGCTCTAGGGTTAAGGTGACAGACCGCTCGGACGGGAAATGGCGGCTCTAGGGTTAAGGTGACAGACCGCTCGGACGGGAAATGGCGGCTCTAGGGTTAAGGTGACAGACCGCTCGGACGGGAAATGGCGGCTCTAGGGTTAAGGTGACAGACCGCTCGGACGGGAAATGGCGGCTCTAGGGTTAAGGTGACAGACCGCTCGGACGGGAAATGGCGGCTCTAGGGTTAAGGTGACAGACCGCTCGGACGGGAAATGGCGGCTCTAGGGTTAAGGTGACAGACCGCTCGGAAGGGAAATGGCGGCTCGAGGGGTAAGGGGACAGACCGCTCGGAAGGGAAATGGCGGCTCGAGGGGTAAGGGGACAGACCGCTCGGAAGGGAAATGGCGGCTCGAGGGGTAAGGGGACAGACCGCTCGGAAGGGAAATGGCGGCTCGAGGGGTAAGGGGACAGACCGCTCGGAAGGGAAATGGCGGCTCGAGGGGTAAGGGGACAGACCGCTCGGAAGGGAAATGGCGGCTCGAGGGGTAAGGGGACAGACCGCTCGGAAGGGAAATGGCGGCTCGAGGGGTAAGGGGACAGACCGCTCGGAAGGGAAATGGCGGCTCGAGGGGTAAGGGGACAGACCGCTCGGAAGGGAAATGGCGGCTCGAGGGGTAAGGGGACAGACCGCTCGGAAGGGAAATGGCGGCTCGAGGGGTAAGGGGACAGACCGCTCGGAAGGGAAATGGCGGCTCGAGGGGTAAGGGGACAGACCGCTCGGAAGGGAAATGGCGGCTCGAGGGGTAAGGGGACAGACCGCTCGGAAGGGAAATGGCGGCTCGAGGGGTAAGGGGACAGACCGCTCGGAAGGGAAATGGCGGCTCGAGGGGTAAGGGGACAGACCGCTCGGAAGGGAAATGGCGGCTCGAGGGGTAAGGGGACAGACCGCTCGGAAGGGAAATGGCGGCTCGAGGGGTAAGGGGACAGACCGCTCGGAAGGGAAATGGCGGCTCGAGGGGTAAGGGGACAGACCGCTCGGAAGGGAAATGGCGGCTCGAGGGGTAAGGGGACAGACCGCTCGGAAGGGAAATGGCGGCTCGAGGGGTAAGGGGACAGACCGCTCGGAAGGGAAATGGCGGCTCGAGGGGTAAGGGGACAGACCGCTCGGAAGGGAAATGGCGGCTCGAGGGGTAAGGGGACAGACCGCTCGGAAGGGAAATGGCGGCTCGAGGGGTAAGGGGACAGACCGCTCGGAAGGGAAATGGCGGCTCGAGGGGTAAGGGGACAGACCGCTCGGAAGGGAAATGGCGGCTCGAGGGGTAAGGGGACAGACCGCTCGGAAGGGAAATGGCGGCTCGAGGGGTAAGGGGACAGACCGCTCGGAAGGGAAATGGCGGCTCGAGGGGTAAGGGGACAGACCGCTCGGAAGGGAAATGGCGGCTCGAGGGGTAAGGGGACAGACCGCTCGGAAGGGAAATGGCGGCTCGAGGGGTAAGGGGACAGACCGCTCGGAAGGGAAATGGCGGCTCGAGGGGTAAGGGGACAGACCGCTCGGAAGGGAAATGGCGGCTCGAGGGGTAAGGGGACAGACCGCTCGGAAGGGAAATGGCGGCTCGAGGGGTAAGGGGACAGACCGCTCGGAAGGGAAATGGCGGCTCGAGGGGTAAGGGGACAGACCGCTCGGAAGGGAAATGGCGGCTCGAGGGGTAAGGGGACAGACCGCTCGGAAGGGAAATGGCGGCTCGAGGGGTAAGGGGACAGACCGCTCGGAAGGGAAATGGCGGCTCGAGGGGTAAGGGGACAGACCGCTCGGAAGGGAAATGGCGGCTCGAGGGTTAAGGTGACAGACCGCTCGGAAGGGAAATGAACCCTGACTTTGACTCCTAGTGCCGCTAGCCAATCCCACAAGGCAGAAGTCACCACGAGGCAGTTTCTAGGCCGGGGCGGCACAAACCGTGCCCGTGACAGGGAGGTGTGGGGGAAAAGGATAGCACAGGAAGTGCTTTCTGCTCAAAAGCAGAAGCTAGAATAGACCCAAGTAGTGAGGCGGAAAACAACATGAGAATTTAATGCATGAGTGAGTCTGGATAGTGGTTAAGTACAGAATCTCTCTATCTTGTCTCTATAAATCTAGTGTAAATCCGATGCTAAGGCTCGCTGTTATAACGCTCCTCTCCAGATAAGGCGACTAGCTCGGCTGAAGCTGTATTATTGACTCCTCCCTTCCCCCTGGTCAAGCACCCCAGCCTGGGCCTGGCGACCCCCGGGTACCAGGCCGTGGGGCACGTTCAGTTAATCAGACTCGCAGCCTTTGGTAGCTAAAAAAAGGGCTTAAAAAAAAATCCTCGAGGCTGTTCACTGTCCTGTTGCTGCAGGAGCATCAGGCTGCCCAGTGGGCAGTCCTGCCGGGGGGGGGGGGGGGCCTTTAAATGGCGGCCGGGGGA